TTATACCCGTGAGTAGTAACATTCTTTTTTTAAATTTATTAGTTTAGGATAGGTCTTCTTGCACAGCGCGATTATAATAATTAGTTTAAATACATACACTTGAGAATATATTCGTGTTATTTATATTATGCATGTTAACATTCCGTATAATTATTTTCAAATGGCAAATATGTACACGAATATACCTGTTTAACATAAACATACTTGATTTTAAGCAATGAATTAATCGTGACAATATGAAGTCACGTTCGTTTATTTCACTTCGGCTAGATTTTAAAATATGAGTTAAAATTCATTTTTTTCCGTACAAGAATGTGTGAAATTTTACGTGCAAGAAGACACTTCGCGACAGGCAGATTTTTGAATCAAAGCAATAATTTTGAACACTGCTTCTGCATTTTCGAGTATGTGCTTTGATAAAAAGATCGCCTGAGATTATTTCTTTCTTAGTAATATATTTAAAGTCAATTATTCCATTTGATCGAGTCTCAGTCTTTTAGAATTAACGTCTTTTAGAATTTTGTTCTGATTTATTAAATTAATATAGTAGAGTTACTTTGTTACTATTAAATTAATAAAGTAGAGTTAATCAGAAACGAAGTAGTAAAATATAAAATCAAAGAACGTTAGTCCGTTAAATAAAAATTACACAAACTAATCATCTTTTTAGATCAGGATTTTCAGATTTAACCCCTTCCGTGCCCATTGTCAGGATCTCATTCACGTGCCCAGGTGCTACGTGAATGGGAGAAAGACATAATCGCGTTTGCTTTAGAGTTGCGAATTACGATAGCGCGATTGTCTTTTGCAATTTTTATTATGAATTTTTAGAATTTCTCATAGAACTATACGTATCAGAATTTATTCTGTTTTCTATTGTTCAAAATTAAATTATAAAAATGTTAGTTTTCAATTAATTTTATAGTATTGCAAGTAGCGATACTAGAATATTTGAAATAGTTTTTTCATATAGTAAATAGTAATTTTCATTGAATTCACTTTAAGAGTTAGCGTTGCGATATTATTCCATCGCGAGTTCTATTAATTTTTCCCTTTAGCGTTGCGGTAATGAATGATCGCGTTTTATTTTGTTAAGTAGAGTTGCGTTTACAAAATGCCCAAACCCTCCGACTGCATTTGTCGGACATTGTTCCTGGATCACACGATACAGCTACAAGTGCTGTGCGAGTGTGATCGTTCATCGGCAACCTCCTAAATGGTTGCACTGCGATATGTCAGCCCACCACTCGCGATTTTTCTTATTAGTGTCGCGACAGATTAATTACGGGTTGAATTAGAGTTGCGAAATTACATTGCGGGTTTTTATTAGTGTCGCGAAAGAATGATTTCGGGTTGAATTAGAGTTGCGTTAAAATGATAATCGCGTTTGCTTTACAGTTGCGAATTACGATAGCGCGATTGTCTTTTGCAATTTTTATTATGAATTTTTAGAACTTTTTAGAAAATTGTACGTATCAAAATTTATCCTATTTTCTATTGTTTAAAATGAAATTATAAAAATGTTAGTTTTCAATTAATTTTATAGTATTGTAAGTAGCAATACCGGAATATTTTTCATATAGTAAATTTCACAACATTCACTTTAAGAGTTAGCGTTGCTATATTATTCCATAGCGAGTTCTATTAATTTTTCCCTTTAGCGTTGCGATAATGAATGATCGCGTTTTATTAAGTAGAGTTGCGTTTACAAAGTGCCCAAACCCTCCGACTGCATTTGTCGGATACTGGATCACACTATACAGCTACAAGAGCTGTACAAATGCGATCATTCAACCGCCTAAATGGTTACACTGTGATCTCTCGCTATTAGTATTGCGTATTTTTTTAAATATGAGTGCATAGATTTATATTTATTAGCGTTGCGTATCAAATTTTGGGCATTTTCAGAATTTCTTTCGTTTTTTTTTTTTTTGAATGGTAGGTTAATTGACATTGCAGATATCACGAAGCACTCTTCGCGTTTGATTTTGAAAATTTTCTGCTTCATAAATATAATTAATAGTAAAATAGTGATGCGAAACAAGAACATAACATTTAAGCTATTAATTTATGACATTTAAACTATTACTCAACAACATTTAATCTATTACTTTATAACATTTAAGTCAATAATTTATAAGATTTAAACCATCAATCTACAATTTAAATTATTATTTT